CTTAATTTTGAGAGTGTCATGGCCCTGTCTCTTATAAACATCTAGATGTGTATAAGAGACAGCTATTATTCAGTCACTAATGAAAGCAATCTTAGATAGAATGGTAATGTGTTGTTAAATTCATGATAAAGAGGAGAAAGATGATGATAGTGATGGTGTTATGGTGTGAGAGAGGATGTTTACGCAGTACCGGGTGTCCAGCAACTAAGTGGGGGTTCCCCGACCAAATGTAGTATTTCATGATACACCTGTGGTACAATGGTGGTGTTGATGAATGTGATGGTGATAAATGACATAAGGCGGTGTGGATCGTGAATATGATGACGATGATTATCTTGGTGGTGGTGGTTATAGTTGTGGTGGTGATGATGTTGACAACGACCTCAACTAGGCCTATGTTTTTTGTGGGCAGACGGAATGACAAATTAATAATATAATGGAAAAAACGAACAATTGAATGAGAGTATACACACATTGAGTTATTTTTTAGAATGACCAGAAGTACTGCACTATCAGGAGCATGTCACTATGGCAACAATGACTGTATCAACATGGCGATTGAAATGTTTCACATCTGGATGAACACGCCATCTGATAACAGGTATGGCAGTAACTGGTGATTGCGTCACCATCTTCATTGGGAGATGGTGCGGAATGACAGACTCAACCAAATGACAAACCAGTTGCAGCCCTCAGCAAGCTATGGCAACGACGTTACACGTTTGATCTGAGACAAATATACACGTGTATAGTTGTCTCAGGTTTGATTTGGAATGGCGTCATTTAATAAACCATTTGCACAGAGTCATCTTGTTTTATACTTTGTTACCAGTACATGTGTTTTAATTATATATGGACAAATAATAAGTATTCGCTTGATGTTCCTTTTTTATTTCAGAATTGCTTCTGATTTACGCTCTGTTATTTACTGCACAGCAGTGAAATCTGGAGATCAAAATGAATGGTACTTTGTCCTGGATCAGTACCAGAAATCACAAGTGGCTGGCGAGCAAGATAACCTTCGCTATGCCCTCTCTTGCAGTCAAGAACCCTGGGCACTTAGCACGTAAGACATCCACTGTTAACTATTGTATTACGACTATAATATAGTTTTATTATCCACTCTTAATTTTGAGAGTGTCATGGCCTCATATCTTCGATTATAAAACATTCGAATGATAAAGTGATTTTTGCTCTTGTTTTCATCCTAAATTTATTTCCCAGCCAATAATTTCATGTTATAATAGCGTTGTGGATTTTGTAGAATCATAATATGTTAACCTATGTGCTTGTGTTTTCGTTAAGTATAGTTACCACGCAATTTTAAACTACTATTGTAATTCCTACAGTTATTTAAATTTTACGATGGGCTCTGAGGTGATTCGTCCACAAGACTGGGTGTCTGCAGTCAACGAAGTTGCAAAAAATCCAGTAGGCACACCTCTAGCGTGGAACTTCTTTCGAGAAAACTGGGACTACTTCAGACAAATGTAATATTACTCTACACTATATTACATTACACTCACTACAACACGCTTTATTTGCAGCTTAATATTACAGTTGAATTGGTAACCAACCACACAAAAAAATACCCAAAGAACAGCAATAAGCATTAAACAGTAAACATAGGGTCAGTGTCTAAGCTTGACAATATCGTTCTATCTGAGTCGTAGATGGCTGTGGGATCCAAATAGTTAAAAGAGGCGTTAATATTGGAATTTTTATAAACGACTCTTCTAAAAACGTTTATAGCATTTATGACGTCTTGCTAACTTCAATGCCATCTAAATGGAATAACTTTAGAAAGTGTTTATTACTATAGGTATGGAGACAGTCTTTTTCAGTTCACGTCTCTCATTAAAGGAGTAACCAGCAACTTTAACACTGAATTTCATCTTCATGAGGTAGGCTTACATGTACTGTTGTATCATATTATCTTCAACATTTTGTTTGATGATTTTGAACCAAATATAATGAAGGTGAAACATCATACATATGTATGTATATATCGTGTGCGCGTACGTGTATGTGTATGTATAATAAAGTAAATATGTGTATGTGAGTACGTACGTATGTATTTACGAGCTTTTTGGATGTATGCATGTAAGAATCATGGTTGTCTTATTAATCAATAAATGACACCACTTTCCATTTTCCTACAGGTGCTGTCTTTCATGGAGCAACATCCTGACCAAGGCACTGGTCGAACAGCATTTCTTCAGTCGGTGGAACAAATTGAAGCCAACATTCGATGGATGTCCAATAATTATGATCAAGTTAAAGATTGGCTTCATAAGGAAACAAATGAGAAATTAAAATGAAATAATTTTTTTTCCTCAAATATTTATAGAAATTCCAAATTGACACTTGTCCTTATGGCTATTATACTGTATAGTGACTATTGTTTTGTCTATTTTCTAAGAATGCATTTCTTAAAAAATATTGGCTTGTGTACTTCTTTTTAAAATTAAACCAAGATATAGTAGCTTATAGTGGCATTGATTCAACATTTTATAAAAGAAATAAAACCGCAAAATAGAATTGCAGTACACGCATAATTTAAGTGGATAATGGATACAACTAATTTGCCATATAAAACCTGAGAAGATATAAAATGCAAGGTCAAATGATGGTTGGTCATATATGACAGATTATTTATAACATATGGTCTTATTGCATTACAATGATTAATCATATAGTGTGACACCTGCCTGATATACGGCCAAATGAACATGATAATATGGAAATTACAACCATGCTTTTTTATATTTTGGAAATGTGTATTCATCATAATATCTTTCAACACACTTTTAGGAGGCAAACTCAGATGGTAGTACAGTACCAACAAATTTGCCAAACTGATGTAATCATAATTATTACCAAACTGATTTTACAAATGAATATATCCGATTCATTGATACCTACTGTAAATTAGAGGTTCATTGCAACATTGTGTTTTTAATCAGTGGTACCAAACCACTTGCTACCAAATAATGTTTGAGTCATAGGCCATTAACAGTTTTCACCATAACTTACTCGTCCAGTAATTTCTGGCACTATGTTCCTGACCAGTCGGAATTGAATTATAAATAGTTTAAAATACCAACAAAAAAAAAAGCATTAACATAATAATATTATTCATATCCATGCATAATCTTATGTTCCCATCATCAAATCTGATCGTCAATCAATTGAAATCAATAAAGACAAATTAACTATAATCCACAAAACATATAAGCCTGGTTCATGTCGAACTTTTATCTAGATATAGATCCACTTAACTAGTTAAAAGTTCGACGTGCACAGTCAATTATAGCTAGATAAAGGCTTAAATCACTTAAATGAATTAACTTCACTAGAATAACGGTAAATTTAAAGCCCCATTCCCGGCAAAATTTCAGTTGTTAAAGCCCCATTCCCGGCAAAATTTCACTAATAAAGAATTTTTTTTCCTTTTTAGAAAGGAGGTTTGGAGGAGGGGGTGGGTTGTGAGGCATTACACGCCCAGTAAGGTCATTTTTCATTAGTAGTAGCGTTCCCTACCAAAACAGAAGAGGGACAGATGCGCATGTTTCCAGGCTAACGTTAAGGTTCCCCCGATTTTTGTGTCTTTGAAATAATTCATGGCACACTCGTGGGTACTGTCTTATTTGACTTGCTGCATATAGTCTTTAACACCACATCCTCTCCCATCCAGCAAACAGTATACGCCAAGCTTGTTTATCTAATAAAATTAAAAAAAAAAACAATAGAAACTATTCTGTGTTTTAAAACAGTCCAACTGCGCCACATCTCCCAAGCCCTGGCCTGCTAACCTAGTGTTCTTTGTGTACCTAGGCCTAACTTATAGATGAGGCCTGGCCACCTAGAACAAGGCCCCTGGCCTAACTTGGCACACTGACCTAATTTGGCCCTGGCCTAACTAGCTGGGCCCTAGCCTAAATAGCTGGCCCCTGGCCTAACTAGCTGGCCCCTGGCCTAACTTGGCCCTTGGCCTGCTATTATAGGCCCCTGGGCTAGGCCCCTAGCACCAATTCAAATCTCTGATTAATCTTATAATGAATTTTATACAACAGAAGTCTATCGCTTACCGATTATACAACCAGTCTTGGCTTACTCTAGCGATACAATTACAAAAGACTGAGAGATTGAGTATTTGGGTTTTGACACCATTGACCTATCATACTCCTAGAGCACTAGTCAATACACTATCCTTCTATACTTGGTATTTGACATGGTATTTGACCGCTATCATTATCATTGTGAAGATAGGCTGTATGGTATTAGAACGTCATTTCCTAATACCTATTCTATGGGATGCCAACTAGGTCAATTATAATGTAAAATCTGCATAATAATACTAAATGTCCCTGTTTTTGTTATTCTGTAGAAACAGGGAGATCATAAAAACATATTTTTAAAATTTTTACGGAAATAGACTAATACCTTGATTATAATTTTGATGCTGTCTCTTATACACATCTAGATGTGTATAAGAGACAGCCTTCATTACCATACAATTATAATTAAACAACACACTCTGAGTTAACTACCATACATGAGGTTTCAACCATCTCTTCTGATGAGATGAACTCAACTACTGTATCTGTGGTTCTACAGCAATCGATGCAACTTCAGCCACACTAGACCCAGACTGGTGATCTTGGTTATTACCATTCAGAACCACTAAATTTTTCTGGTCATGTTTCATCTTTTTCTGAGCAGCTTGTGTCACATCGTGGGGCTGAGTGTCAGCAGCTTCCTCAATTGACATTGTGTGTTCTTCAGAGAAAATGGCAGAGGTGGTTTGTGCTTCACACACCTCTCCATGAAATTTCTCAAATGAGTCAGAGTTTTCCAATTTGATAATAATCTCTTTGCCACTCTTCGACAACCTCTGAACAGTATGTGCAATATCAATTTCTTTTTCTTTCTGCTCTATCTCTGTGCATACCTCTTCTCTGATGCTAATAATTACTTTTCCAATGTTTTGGTTTGACTCAAGAAACTTGTGAGCGTCAATAATCTTATCCAGTTTGTAGTACTTGTTGATAACTGGACTGAGTTCATATTCAGAATTTGGTTGGAAGTATGGGAGCACTTTCTTGGTAAATGATGCTATAAGTTCTGATACATACTGCAACAGGACAAAAATTAGCATTAACATTATTATTCAGGACAGCTACAAAAGCATAAGTTCAATAAGGATTTTCAGATATTTATTGTTTAGGAAGAAAATTATGTTGAGTATGATGTATTGTCACACAGGCCAGTATTGAGTAAATGAGCAATTAAGAAATTGCCTAAAAATAAAAAAAAAAATGTCACTGTAAATCAATATCCAACTAATCATGTCCCAAAATCTTAGTTCTGAGAATGGTAAAAAAACAAACCAATATATTCAACGTTACTTGGTATATAAGATTCAAGATTTCTTTATTTGTGCCCTTTCGGAAATTTCAGTTGGTACATCACAACACAAAAAAGGTTGCAAGATTAATACAAAACAAAGAACAATATTACTAACTTGAATTAGGCCCTAAATCTTGTTTGATATTATTTTGATTGAGAATTCTAAAAGATAGTGATGCGAACGAGTTGATAAATAAATGGGCCATGAAATGATGTTTTATATAATTTAAGCTGTAAAACAATCAACTTGAAACAATCAATCTTGATAGACATAACGCTCTGTCTTGACTACCAAATTTTCTTTGAAAAAAGCAGTTGTATGCCCATATATAGTAACGAATTGCCTATATATGTTGTAGTGTCAATCATGAGGCATGTTTTTGTCAAACAATATGTGATAGTCTGAACTGGGTTTAAGATAGCAGTGAAAACAAATTGTTAACTTACCTCGTGTGAATGGCTTCTTAAGGAAGATGTCTTGATGGTTACATTCTTGGTGAGAAGTGGTCTCATGTCTCCAGCAATAAATGGTCCACTTATAAGTCCATAAATTATCCAAGTACCATTTGTCGCAATGAAGTTACTGTTCAACTGCCAGTGAATACCAGCAACACAATCAAAAATCAAATTCACTCCCCTTCCTATGGAATTTATATGTTTTATATTGTTACTTAAGGCAATATGAAATGTACATTACATATAGAATAAAAAAAAAAGTAGATAAAATTAAAAAAAAGAAGAGGAGGAGAGGAAGTCAAATGATAGATAGACATATGAGGCTTGCAATCCTAAAGACAGTGTACCCTTGCTAATGTTAAACTCAATAATTCTCATTAGAATATGGAAGTATTGTATACTTCAGTACAGGGAAGCCATAATACTATTGCTCATTTGGCAATAGTAAGTCGATTTCAGTAAATGACCCATCATTTTGATGTGGAGAATAAGAATACTGAATATTATTTTCATATTTTGGTCAACTGATGCTGGTTTTGGGGATGGAAAGCCTTATATGGTAAATATAAATCGTTACAGCATTTTCTTCAAAAATATTTGTATCATGTCTTTGAGAATGCGAATATCTTCTCAACTATGCAATTTCCAATAAAAAGATGAAATTAGGTTCAACTGTATCTGTATTCAGGATACACATTAGAATAAAAGTAAAATGTACAGTGATTTAAAAAATGATAAAACATTACTTTGATCTAACATATGGTCCAGAATAAATAACCAGGGGCGGATCCAGAGATGTCCAAAAGGGGGGACCGAAAGGGGGGGCCGAAATTTGGGCCGATCGAGACAACAACATCCTAGGGGGATGGCCCCGAGAAATTTTTGTGTTCTAGACGCCCGAAAATAACATTTGAGGCATTGTGGGCTATCATTTTTTTCTTTTTCTTTCTTTTTTTTACCCCCAAAAGGGGTGCCGGGGCCGGGCCGGCCCCCATAAATCCGCCCCTGATAACAATCATAAACATATTAATCTTGTTAAAATAAAGGCAATATATACATTTTAAAAAGACAAAATATTTACATAAAAAATGATATACAGTATTTCAATATCAAGTATTATGGATCTTCAGAATGTGGCCTGACATTATTTGGCAAGTACTATTCTATTTGTAACTGATTTACCATATATTAATTTACAATTATGAGACAAGACATTGACAAAGACACTGGAGGAAGTGACAGAAAATCAAAAAATAAAAACACAGATTTTATTGTTTTATAATATGTCTGTAGCATTTACCTTCAAGATAACTAGCAATGTCTTTCCTAACATCCAACGATTTATAACAGAACCCAGCAGACGCACCTAACGATTTGCATAGATCAATTTTACCCTGTGAACCCGCAGTCACAATTGCACAACCACCGGCCATGGTGACTAGTTGGACAAGTGCTGTGCCAACACCACTTGCACCGGCATGAATCAAGACAATGTCACCTGCTTTCATACAAGCTGTAGAAATCAGGAATAAAGGTATTGAAATTATTAGTTGAACATTTTCACATTCAACAATTAAATGAATGACAATCAAGAAAATTTCAATATCCTCTTCTGCTTACATATAACCAATAATACTGAAATATAGGATTTTCCTGGCCTTGTTTACAACAAACAACCTGTATTACGGTACTGACCAACATGATACAGAAGATGGTATGCGGTCACCCACGCCTGAGGAATGGCTGCAGCTGACGAGAGTGTCATCAAACGAGGCACAAGCATAACATGGTCCTGGTGTGCAATTACTTGTTCTGCACAACCACCACCTGGTAGGTATGCCATCACTCTCTCACCTGTAACATCAAATAAATTATATGCAATGGTAGTGTTACAATTAGTTGTCCACACTATCAACTAACAATTCAGAACAAAGCAGCTAGGAATAAACACATTTCCACAAACATATAAGAGTTTCAATGTTCACTCCACATGATCTATACTCATGGTAAAACAAATGCAGATAAAATGTCTTGTCTAAGGACAAAAAGTGAAATTTACCCCAGCAGACATGAATGCCTGACCTCAATGTTGAAGCCCTGTAATGCAACCTCTGAAGTCGCTACCCTTACTAGATGCAATGTTTATTGTGGTTTTACCTTACTTAATAAATGATTACTTACCCAGTGACCATTTTGATCCACAACCAGCTGCAATGACAATACCTGCAGCTTCATACCCTAAAACATGTGGTTCTTCTGCTGAGGTGAAACTCTTTCTCTGTGGAAATAGAAGAATAGTGTGAGAACCTAGGATTTTAAATGAGGCTGTTTTATAATATAAATATTCATAATCAATATGCAAAAGCTGTGAAATGGTATTTACAGTGTCTATGGGATGAGAGTGAACATAACATCCACACGGTCACACTACAGCCTCAGCCCTGGCTTGACTCACTACGGTTGAGAAAGATGTAGTATGAACCAACTTTGGTTGCCCATTAACCTGGATTGAAATTGCTCTCAACCTAGACAAGGTTTGCAGGTTGACCCTGGGTTGACCTAGAATTCCAAAATGTGACAAATCCCAGGTGGCAATACAATGTTTATGCACAAGGAGCTCTACTATCTGAATTAGGTCAACCCAGGTAAGTGTGATGAGATCTCAACCGTAGCAAGTCAAGGCTTAAGGTTCAAGTGTGACTGTAGCCTTAGTAAAGCCAGTCTTGAAGGCATAGTGTGACTGTAGCCCTACAGCTTTACTCTATTACCAAAACCCTAATTACCCGATCAATGTCGTCTCTATTTACAGCACTGGCATAAACTTTGATAAGAACCATATTGTCTCCTGCAGTTTCTAAATCTGGGATCTTACTGACGCTGATGTCCTCAACACGTCCTGTTGATGAGGCTAATGCAGCAAGCATTCCAGGTTTTCTTGAGTATTTAAGAGGCTAAAATAAAATGTTTAATTAAATATATCATTATGACAAAGAAACACTGCGTTGAAAGCTAAAACAATATTGAGTTAATTTTTTATTACACAAATTAGAAAAAAAAATATGCTTACATCCTTTGCACATCCCCTTAAAAATCAGTAAAATTAATTCTTTTCTACTGACATCTTATTTTAATTTCATTCATAAATTATACTATCATTTTAAAAGAGTATTTCGAAGTTAACTAGATTTGAATCCGTCACTGAAAACGAGTTAGGTGATACGCTTGGCAGGCAAAAGATATCTCCCGGCGCTTAAAAGTATGATTATATATGGAAAAACACCGTAGCCAGGATTGTCAAAATGTGCAGTTCAATATCAAGCCTGTCGCCCTCTCTCAGGTTGTCAAAGAATAAAAGAAAGAAAGAGGTTCGGGAGAGGTCAGAAAAACATTCATTTTGACAACGATGACGTCATCAAAGTGAAAAATAAATGACACATTCCCCTACACCTACAAAACAAAACAGGGGTTTCAGCAAGGACTGTACATTATTGCCATTACTACTAATAACGCACATTCTATGAATGGCGCGGTCGGTTATGTATGTGTTCTAAAGAACATAAGGTGGTGGGCTCGAATCGCGTATAGATATTCAATATTTTTTTATTCAATTTTAAGAATCTATTTTTGTTCAATTTCATGTATCCTTATTTTTAAATAATGTTTTTTTTGTACAAATAAACATTTTATTTATTTAAAAATTCCTATCTTATTATCTCTTCGAAAAAACAAATATAATAACTTGCGTCTGCGCCATATTTAAGCATGGAGGAAAGCACAGACCATGTGAGTGGTCGCTCTTGTTTTCCGTTCAAATGGCAATATGATGACATCATAATGTCCTATCAGCCATAATGATCTGTAAAATCATATCTACAACCCATGTGCTTTCAGAATATGTACGGTAATAAAATTGGGGGTCACATTTCATCCTAAAGGAGCTGTAACTGAGTAAAAATAGACGTTATTTTAAGCATATATTTTACATTGACAATTTATTTTTATACTATATTATATTTTTATACTGCAATTTTTATTAACAGCCTTTTCGGGTTCTTTGTGCAATCTATTAATAATGTAATTTAACTCCCTAATTTTTCAACAATGTAAATTTTAGTGTATATTTTGTATTTTATTTGATATTTCTAATGCGTAAATTTGCATGTATTTTATTTACTTTATAGTTCTGTATTTTTATATTGATGTATTTTATACTGTTATTGTGTAATTTTTGAGCAATGACTTTCTCTCAATGTAATTTCCTTTTTGGACAATAAATTTGAATTTGAATTTGAATTTGAATATTAAAATTGACGCAAGCGTATGCGCATGTTATGACGTGCGTACAGAAAATTCAGGTACATAATATTCAACCTTGACCTGAAGTTTATGCCCACTGAATATGATTCAGAAATGATGACTGGTAAGGACGACATGAGGTCATCAAAGATTTGAGGAAAGAAAGATGAGGGGGGGGGGGTCAGAAAAACATTTATTTTGACCATGATTACATCATTAGAAAGTAAAAAAAGTCACATTTATGAAAGGTAATTGCCTCAGCTATAACATACTCAAAGTTGGGAGACGATTGATCAAGGATAAGTGAGATACGCTCAAATGCATATTTTAAAAAAATGACGTCATAAATAAAATTCGGTTTTTAAAAATTCATATGGCAATATGATGACATCACAATGTCCGATCAGCCATTACAGTTTGATCCAAAAAAATCATATCTACAACTCATGCTTTCAGAATATGTAATACAAATTGGGGGTCAAATTTCATCCTAAGGAGCTACGACTGATTAAAATAGGCCCGATTTTAGCATACTTTCATTGTATGTCGGCACAAATGCGCGCAGGTCCCTATGTTTGATGCGTGCGTACTGCATTGCTATTGGCCCTAAGATGACTAAAAAGAATGGAAATTTTTTGAATACAATGTCAGGAATGCAAAATAATATTTTTTTTTTAAATGTAATTTCTAGCTACTGTATGTGCTGCGCATGTATAAAAGCTCGCACGTAGTAAAAAATTTGAAAAATGTTGAAATGCAATTTTGAGATATCGTGTTAACGAAAATGGGGAAGAAGAATAAAAAAGATGATAAAGATAAACCTGACAATAACAAGAGGTGATCCACTCGTGAAACGGACAAAAAAAAAAAGATCTCTGACAATAGCAAGAGGTGATCCATTCTGTGAAGCGGAACACCAATTAATTTTTTAAGGTACATTCCAGAAAGTAAGTACCCCACTGGACAGGTCAAGTCCCCCACGCTGGACAGAGCTCATAAAACATATAAAAATAGGCCCACACCAAGCCAACACATGTTTTTCACAGTCTGAGAGTGCCATATGTTGATATTCTTTAAAAAAAAATCTTATTTGGAAGGGGGAACCTCCTTTCAACCCTTTCCCTCAGCTCGAGCCTACAAGCTCAAGCTCCCCCTGTCCGACTACTTAGCCCCCCAGAAAATATATCCTAGAGCCGCCACAGGGGAGGATTATGTAAAATAGTAGCAGTAGTTGTGTAAAAAATGTATCTCAGAGGCTTACCACAAACAGTTCGCTTGTGAAAGGATGAAACTTGTGGTCAGTCTGTTCAGGTAGAGTAATAAAAATTCGCCGGTCTATTTTCATGTTGCCGTTTTGTATGGAGTTTAGAAAATGTTCTGACATCTGGCGTCTACTCTTTGCACTATCAACCTCAAGCTAAAACAGATATCACAACCTCCTGTTAGCAATTTAACTTTTTAGAACATTTAATTAACAATTCTAAAGCTGAGCACTCACTGCCAACGACGATTTTATGAAGAATGCAACGCCATGACAGACTGACTGCCACTGGCAGGGGTGGGGCCAGGATTTGCCCGACGAAGGGGGCTGAGATCCTCGACAAGGGGGCTGATGATTCAACGAGGGGCCAGATTTCCCCGGTGAAAACAAAGCGGGTGTGATCGAGCTTCCATTAAAAGGTTTTGAAAGTGGTCCAGGGGGCGAAGCCCCGAAAATTTTGACAATTTAAGAGTTTCAAAGGCTTATTTAATCGATGTTATAGTCTACTAATATGTAGAAAATACATCATTTTTTTTTTCTCCCCGACAAATTGTGCTTTTTTTTAAATTCTTTTTTTCAATACAAGTAGAAGCTTTTAAATTGTTGTGCTTTACATGACCTTCAGCATACAATGTCTTGACCTTGACTGTCCAACCGAGTCAAGGTTTTCTCTTTAGGCTAGGCTGTGAAAAAATCATATGTATTAATACAAAATTGCTGAGACTGCCGACCTCGGAGCATATACAGTAAGGTGGCAAATTTTTGCCAACCTTAATTTTTCCTGGGAAGCGTTAACTGACAAGAGTAGGAACAAAGTACAATTAACCATCAGTTCAGTCAAACAAGAAACAGTCGGAAATAAATCGAAAAGTCATGACCCTAAAGTAGCAAACTATAAGCAAGGCACTGGTAAAAAAAATAAAACTTACAGTGAAATCTGGAAACCTAATAATTTCAGACAAGGCAACATTGGCTGGGCAGTTCCGTTTCTTACAGAAGATTCGATTACGACTCTTCTTGAATATCCCATTTGCTTCATCTTCCTAAAGAAGAGAAAAATATACTTAAAAAAAACACTAAGAAGCTGACAGCAATTTTTTAAATAGTCCATTTTAAAAGTTTAAAGCCCACTAACATAAAGACTACGGTATTAAAATTTTATGTTAGAAAAAAATGTATGATATTAATAAATGGTAACAATTATCTGTGAGAACAGAATCAGGATTGGAAAAATTCAACAAAGTTTAAACAACCTACAGAACTTGTTTAAACACATGCTTAAAAATTAATAAATACAGAACCATAATACAAAGAATACTAGAAAATATTTAAAAACATAATTATCATCCCTTACGTGACTATCAAAAGATGCACTCTATAAGGAATAATATGTATCATCAATTAAATAGAGAACATGATGCAAGAATAGAGGGATTCGGCGATGATTGTTTAGGCAAGACTTTTTTATACCGTGTTTAGCAAATTAAATTCTACTTTTCGCCAATTAATGCACCCGCCCCACGAAAAATGGATATTTCAGAAAAAAAGTTTTTTTTTTTTTTATTACGCCCTCCGAAAGAGAACATCTAAAATACGATAAAAGCAATTAAGTCACAAATTCACAAAATAAGAACATCAAAAATATGATTAAAAAAAAATACAATTTAGTCACATTTTACAATATAAAAGGATAAAATCATTAATAAATCAGTTTTACTTTATTAACAAAGGTCAGAAGAAAATTTAGTCACCTGGTTGATGAGGAAGGAGATAGCACTACTCTTGTACCTTTTAGTGAAGCATAAAAGGTTTACAAACTTGTGTTGATTTCTAAGTGGCATGTGATGTGTAGAATGATTATTTTAACCATCCCATTCAGAGTTGTAATACTGTACACATAAAGTTCATTAAATATAAGTGCACAAAAACATTCAGCTGCATAAAAAGTTAAAGGCATTATAACATAGAAACATTTATAAAGTCATCATAATATAGAAACATTTACCAATAAAATTTTATTTTTATTTTCTCCTTCGTCTGGATGTTATCTTAAAAAATATGTACACTACAAACAAGGAATAAAAATAGTCTGGCCTTACAGGTGGTCACGTGACCTAACTTGGGTATACATGAAAAACATTACAGTGCGATAGCATAGAGAAAGATAATGTTATGGTTGCGAAAACCACCACCCAAACGTTGAGAAATGGCTAGGAAAGGCAATACGATTATTCAAAAAAGGTTTTATTTACTTATCCTAGCGTTCTCCTTAGATTGTATGCTTTGAAATTTAGGTTGACGTTCCGCAAAATATGGTCCGCGGTACAAAATTTGGGCCACAAAACATTTTTGGAGGGAATAACCAAGAGACGTTTCATCAAAAGGAGAAAATAGTTTTTAATAAAGCTGCTTCGTTGTTACAGCGAATGTGTCGCTTGCACATGCTGCTAAAGTGCCAGATGATGCGTGGTATCTGAGTTATATGCGGTTTTTGTGTCTATGCCCCCTCGGGAGCTAGACACTATGTTATTGTCTAGTATTAACCCTGTAAGATCGAGTAAATCCGGTATGGAGGAATGATGGGATGAGTCATGAGCTAAAGATAAAAATAAATAGAAGACCTATCCTAGAAAGATCACTACAGTAAACAACACCACGCATTTTTTGACAACCGCATGCCCATGTGGATACTTTATTACTAAACATAATACCTGTTATATTAAAGGTAGTCTTTCAAAGTTGCGGAGTAACAGTATGCGTAAAAGTTTTTGGAAGAATGAGAAAGCTATGAAGTGTGTGGCTGAACCGTATTTGGTTGAATCATGGTAAAGAAAAAAAACAATCAACAATTGTGGGGGGGGACACAAATGTACGGTATTATTTATTTAATAATATATAATTTATATACAATAAAATGTTATCACTCAGAGAATCAGACAATGTCAAAATATTGTATATACATGAAGGCTTCATCATCAAAAGTTCTTGCCAGGATTTGGTATGTTGGTTCCTGGCGCGGCTGGGCTGGTGAGCCGCGGCTTGGTGCCTGGAATTGTAAATAGGCTGTGAAGTAAAAAATGTGTGCGGAACGCTGATTTAGCTGGCCCTAACATCGCAGCATAGTTCACGGGTCGAAGGCCATCCTGCATGCCGTAGATGTGCAGGGTCACGCCTAGGCCTAACCTTTGTAGAAAAATCTCAATGTTTGAGGCCAGTATCCTTTACAGCATTAGCAAACTATTAATGCAAAATTCTTGTTTAATTTCCAATCAGTTTGGTATACTTTACTGCGAATTATGATATTTACAGCAATAACAAGAGACGTCCGCCATAGCAATCTCCGTGTTAAAAAACACAGCTGTGCCAGTCGACTGTTTATACCCAACACCCAAGTTATTTCATGTGACACCCATCGCCGAATCCCTCTATTCATTCATACCATATACGATCAGATTGTATAATGAATGTTTATGATGAGGTTATGTACAGTACTTTAATTAGTCTATTGATTTAATCTGAATTTCAGTACTGTTATATCTAAATCTTAACAGGAATCTTTTATTTTTTTATTAATTTTAAAATTTTTATTTTAATCTGAAGTTTAGTAATTTTAGAAGGAATCTTTATTTTTATTACTAATAATAAATTTGGACTTGAATCTTTTTTAAAATCTTATAAAATACTATCTTGATGTACTGTACTATGATAATGCCTTAATTGTATCTTGCTATAGTCTGTTTTTGCTGTTAGTATCTTACTAGCAATTTTAATGTATATTTTAGATATGGAACACATGCTTTTTTTTATAAAATGTTAATGACCAGAAATGTACTCACTGCTATCAAGTATAAAGTACACTATTTTGAACAATCTTTCTTACTGCTTTTTCTTGCCATTTTATATATTACAATATGAATGGGGAATTGTCACACACAGTTCTTGTACCTCTTTTTTAGCTTTTAACTTCCTTTTCCTGCTGACAGACTTGTCTATTCCAAATTGACAGTTTAACATTTTCAAATTGACCTTCATAAATGGCGTTCCATCGTATGTGATGGCTGGTTGGTATTTTGTTGCCTCACTTTCCCATATCAGTTTATGGGGCTTAGATTTAAAGTCTGAAATAATATAACAAACACACAACTGGCATAAATATAAAAATTTCTTTGTGACATAGGCCTACACCTAAAAAATAATTTTTGAAAACAACCTGCTTGTTTTTAGCACCTTGCTGGCTGGCACCACCTCTGAAACCAATCGACAATGACCTCAGGGTATGCACGTCTCCATCCGTGTGACCGTGAGCAACAACGACAGGCTAGGAGCTTCAATGGATGAAGTCGTCACTAAACTTTAGTATTGCTAGCTGAATGCTAGGCCTAGGTAGGAGGACATGGCATATTGGAAGAATCCAGAGTATCTAATTTTAGTTTTTATTCAATTTAAATTAAGTTCAACCTGATCACTTAATTTTTTTTTAAATTAAATTGTACTTATATAAATAAAGAAAATATATATTATTTACCACATAAAATTTTTGATATATTTATAATTAAACACCGTATATTTCAATGGGCCATTTCAGGCTTCCTTTATATTCATAAGCCCGACAAAATTACTCTTTCTAGTTCTATTCTATAGTTGCACTACAATTTAATTTCCCACAAACTAGATTGCCATGGTACTCTTGAGGTGAAGCAGCACAAGGTTTGTATTTTCTTGTTTGTTTTATTTCCATTTTTTTATACATATTCTGATATATAAAATACCATTCCAAGGTTTCGGTCTTTAGGGCAGGCTTCCTTCTAAAAAAATTCACTACTTCGAGGGCTCCTGTACAAGTTGTCTGGTAACTAACGATAAAAATCGTAAAGAAACTTTCCCATAACCAAGGTTCTCACGGTGCTCATGAAGGTGAGATGGCATATTCTAGTACGCCGCCTTCAGAAATGTGAACACATTACACTGCAAAGACAGAAGTAGGTCAGATGCAAATATAGATGACTAGCTATTTTTAGCAGGTCATGGAAGTGGCAGTGAAGGTGTTCAAGTGCGTTCATCTACTTCCTGTCACTATTACCTTCAAGTCATCAATCTGATGATTATATTTATTTTAAAAATACATGAATTGTAAAATACTATAGTTTAAATGGAATGTACAAATACATATATTTTAATATTCTGACATAAAAGTATAACTGATTAAAGAAATTAAATCATTATCGTAACAACATTCCCAGGCCTTGATAAATACAAATATGTACTAGACTTTTAATTTCTGAATCTGAGAAGAAAAAGGACATGCTAAAATTTATATTCAAATTACTTGTAATATAATACACTAACAATCGTAAAAAACAACAATCATACTAAAAAAAAACGCTGTGGCTAGAGATACGGTACCGTATCGGAACTTCCGAATGCTAAAGGTACGGTAAATGATATTACGTCATGATTAGCCAATAGAAATGACCGACTCGATTTTGGCTTTTTGCAAAGTCGACATCGCGATCATAAGAAACGTGGCGCGAACAGTTACGATCAAATTTATGTCATAAAACTTTAGGCCCATTTCATGTATTTCCATTGGGGCTTATCACAATGTTTGGGTTAAAAATCCTTTCTGTTATTCTTGAGTATTTTATGGTGTACCATAGAGAATGGTATACTAAGGCTAGGCTTAGCCCGAATGCCCGCCTAGGGGCATACTTATAGTAGTAGTCGTACTATTAGGCTAGCCTTACGAGGTTTCAGGGGTAGCTAAGGCCTGGCTTCTACTATTAAAATAGTTTATTCTTGCTTGATGTCGCCAAATCTAGCAAAAGTGCTATCCTTTTTATTTGCTATAGCCGGGCCTCGGGCTACAGAATATTAATCACCCGCAAACGAACGAATCTTCAACAAACACACTCGCTACTCTTGCAGCAGCAGTGCACTGAATGACGTCACGCATGTATCGGGTCTCTATTGGCTAATCATGACGTAATATCATTTACCGTACCTTTAGCAATCGGAAGTTCTGATACGGTACCGTATCTCTAGCCACGGCGAAAAAAAAATTACAAAGAATATTAGGCCTAGGCCTAGGCCTATATGATAATCAAGCATCATAAAAAAATAAATAAATAAAATTAATAGGCCTAACTTGTTTGAAACACATGCACCAAAAAAACTTTAAAAGACAGAACCATTTAAAAATTACTTTCCAAACATAAAGCACTAGTGCGTACATCGGCGTTCCATACTGAGGCTGTTCGCACCAGCGCGAACGAAATGAAGGCGCAACCGAAATGAAGGCGCGACCGAAATGAAGGCGCGACCGAAATGATCTGTATTCAGGCCTAGGCCTAGGCCTAACATAATATTGGCCAAGCCTAAATAGGCTAAGCCTAAACTTGTCGTATTTAGGCATAAATTTGAAGCTAGACTTAGCGTAGCCTACTAGGCCTATATGTTCTTTCCAGCATTAAAGGTCATGCAAAAGGGCTTATAATAGGCCTGTTATCCTTGCTGTTATTATCACTGTACCTGTCTTTCCGAAGTGTGTTGCTTGAACCTTGTTGGTGACAAATCGTGAAGTAGTTGATACGAAAAATAACTTTAGTAGGCGATCTGCATCTTCCACAGTATTAACGTACCCAAACTTTTCCGAAATCTGCACTGTGAAAAGCGCTCGCCAATCAGTCATTGTATGCCTAAAATTGGTTAAAAGTTAAAATATGAAAAAAGAAGGTAAACAAACCATAGCGCTGTGTAGTAATTGTAGAGGGCGTGCTTTTTATAACCCCCCCCCCCTCTCAAACATCGGTACCTCAAACATCCCATTAGTTTGTCTAATATGTACATTTTTGTTAAAAGTTGTTCTATAATACTTTACAAAATTCAAAAGTCATTTATCATTTTTCAAAATATTGGGTCAGAATCTGTTCATGATTCAACCATCACCTCACAATCAACTATCGTCATCCGTCATGATTTCCTGTTCATTATCATTAGGTCCCATGAAAAAAAAAATCAGTAGTTATCACTCTATCAAAGAATAAAAACTGATTTTTTTTTTGCTAACCCCGCCCCAATTTTACCGTTGTTCACAAGTAAAATCAATGGTTAGGACACATATATAAAATGTCATAAGAATGGAATCAAATTTATATTAAAAAAATAAGTTTTTTTGTACCAGCTAGTAAATATATTGATGAGGGAGGGAGTGATAAATTAATATTTTTTATGGGGCCTTACCACCATCAACATCAGATTCAAATTCAGATTTATTCGCACAACGCAAGAAGTTGAAACAAGAAAAAAATTTATATTAATTTTAGGAAAAATTCAATTGTCACTGGAACCCAAATAATCCCAAAGGACCAGCATCAACATCATCCCTACCTTCAGCTTCATCATTGCCATCAACATTGCAATCATTATCACTATCTTTTGTCACCACTTTCATCACAACCAAAACCATCATCACCATAATTTTAAATCATCTTGACCATCATCATACTGCCACCTTCACCATTAACCATCATCAACATAACAATAAACATCATCATCCACTATCATCTCTCCGAACTCTTCATCCTCACCAATATCAATATATATTACAGATTACAGTGAAATTATTATTATTTACTATTATTATTATTATTATTTTTTTTTTTTGAGGGGGTGGGGGGGGGGAGGATGTGAACAATTTTTGGGACAAAGATTACAATTGTATTTGCAAGTTCCTTGGCCTTAAATTCAACAAGCATGTTACATGCTGATTTTTTAGGTGTATTTTATAATTTAACAATATATAGACATTATAAACAATAAAAAATGACAACATTTTCTAACGTTCAAATATCAATAATGTCCCACTATTCAGTGGATTTTATTTTCGAGTTATGTTAATGATTTTCCATAGTGATTTTGTATCTTCAAATATGTGACATTTTTTGTCATTTAAGTTGATAGGGGCACAACGCAATTGTGTTATGTCACCGGTAAGAGACACACTGTGTTCAATTACTGTAAACTATTTTTATCACTGGGCTTGCTCCCAGCCTAATTTTTACAGAATAGCAAACTAAATCCTTAAAATCTGAATGTTTATTTTCTTAGAAGTTTCATTTTACTATTCATAGTTTGTGTGTGCTGAGGTTTTTTTTTCTCTAAACAATGCTGATGTTATTGGTTAATTGACAATTATTTTTAGTTTGTCAGAAGTTGTCTTTGAAGTTAGATTTGTCTACAGTATTCAAATTACCGGGGGTGTGTTTTGTCGCCCTGGCTCTTTTCGGTATACTCTTCTGATTTTTGTAGTAATATTTATCCAAGTAAATCATTTAATATTAAGTTTGCTGATGATACTTGCCTGATTGGTTTGATTTCAAAAAATGACACATCCTTGTTTTATGACTATGTTGAATCTTTTATTGTTTGGTGTAAGGAGAATTTTCTTGAACTAAATGCAAAGAAGACTAAGGAAGTTATTGTCGATTTCAGAAGAAAAAATGTAACTAATCATGAAAATATTGTAATCAATAATGACATGGTGGAAATTGTTGAAAAACACAAGTATCTGGGACTGATTATTGATAATGAACTTAATTGGGAAAGCAACACTAAAGAAATCCGTACCAAGGCTAATAAAAGAATGTATTTTGTATATAGAATGAAACGGTTTAATGTTATCTCTCGTCTTATTCATATGTTTTATTCCTTGGTTGTCCAGTCAATTCTTTCTTATTGTATTATTATTTGGTTCTCTCATATCACCACAGACAGTAAATGTCAATTATTGAGAATTGTAAATAAGGCTGGAAGAGTGATTGGAGCCGACGTTAAGTCCTTGGAAGATATTCTAAATGATTTTTTACATAAGAAATTTAATTCAATTATGCAAGATTCATCCCATCCATTATTTTCAGACATTATCATAAATAGATCGGGAAGGGTTAGACATAAACAAAACAAAATATCCACAAACCGTTTTAAAAATTCAGCATTGTACATCGCTTGTAATCTATTTAATCAAAATTTCAGAAGATAACTGCACTGGACTCACATTTTTATTTTCTAAGAAATCTTTATTTAACACTCTATATATTTATGAACGATTCTATGTCATGTACAACAAATATCTCAGAATGTATTATTTTGACAATAAAGTTGACTTGTATCTTGTATGACAATCAAAACAAACCGCGATTGAAGACAAGTTGAGAGAAGACAATTAGGAAAGGGACAAGTCTGACATCATTGCGTCACATGGCCATTGTAAACATTGTGAGGTGGCTTAAATGTTGGAAAAATCGCTATAAATCATGATTTTTTTAAATTATGATAAACCTGCGACTTTATATTTCCATACCTCAGGGTTTTTATATGTAAGTGAATATAAATATCCAACACAGAATGTATGAGGTTCCAATAACTTTAAGCTGAACCTTGATGCTATTTTACCTCAGCCAATTAAAACAGCACAAATGCATCACATCCAGATTGTGCATGGAAAAATTGTGGCCCTCCTTGTAACTACTGATGGAGTAAATACTGATGGAGTGGCACATAAAACAGCAATTAATCAGCATGACGACAACAATAATAATTTATTAGAAGTTGGTCAATGGTGCACCATACTGCACGATGGCACGCAATATCCTGGCAAAGTGAAGGAGATAGGTGATCAAGCAGATATCAGAGTCTCGGTATTGCATCCAGCAGGTCGAAACTGGAAATGGCCAAATCCAACTTAATAGGATTGAAATATTAATGGTAATAGTTTACCAAAACTAAATATACTAAAACATGGTCAATTTCGGGGGAAAAGAGGAGTTTTCAAAGATGTTGCAAGCGGGACAAATGATCTAAGTATTATACGGATAAAGGACAAATGGGAAGTACCGTTAGAGAAATTGCAAACTGTTTTTTTGTTAGTGAGAAGACAATCAAAAGAATACTTAAAGAGTGTAACTTCTCCGTTAGACAACTGTACAGTTTATTTTACACTATGCATGCCAAAGGCTGAATACAGGACGATAGATGGATGCTTAGTTTCTCAAGGGTTAGAGCTGAGGAGAAAATGTAGGCCTAGATGTTGCAATGTACAGCTTGAACACTCCTCAGAGAACCAGGACGAGGATCTTTCACCACAGGCTGTAGTGTCCACAATTCAAGAATTGAATGGCTTTGGTGAGATGTTCATGAACAGGTCATGTGACACCATCGACGATATTGTACGCCTGGTTCTAAAATATAGCAGGGGCTGCCTCATGGCAAAAACAGGCATAGAGGATGCATTCCGTATAGCCCCGATTCATCTAGATGATTCCTTCCTATTATTAATAGTTTTCTTGGGAGGGTTCCTTTTTTTTGATCGTTGAATGCCGATACAGCTGTCTGTCAGAACTTCAAAGCAATTAGCTTATCACTAACATGGGTCATGCAACGTAAGTTTGGGGTACAGGACATGTCCTACATATTAGACGACTTTTTCTTCAGTGGCCCTAGGGACTCTTGCACTGCTTTGATGCCCTATGCAAATTTCTATTCGTCCCTTAACAGGTCAGTCTCCCCATTAAAATGCCTCAAACTGCTTCCACATGCACGTGCATTACCTTTTATGGCGTCGAAGTTGATTACAGTATATTACTCTGTTTAAAGTGGGGAAAGTGACCGAACACTTCAACTACTGTACTTGTGTATTTACTTAAAAAATAATTTAGTAGTTGCATATGTATACTTTTTTCCAATAATCGAAGAACCCCAAAGAGAACGGGAGTTCAGGGTCCTCCCCTGAAAAATGTTGATTCCTAGATGGCGAGAAATGAGCTTTCCCGACTTTCCTATTGTAACAAGAAAATATTCAGCTCACGGGTCTAGAATTATTTTTATTTTTTTATTTTTTCCCCCCAAGACCTGCCAATGAGCATTTACTTGGAGTGATGTCAATCTATAAACACACTGCAATACCACAAATGCAAGGGAGGAAAAGATGATGAATAAAAGAACATTCATTGAGTAAACTAAACAATTCTGTTTAAGAATAAACTAAAACATCATTTGAGTAGAGCAGTAGAATAGATAAAATGCATTTCTAGCACCAGAATATAATTGCTCATTACTAAAAACAACTCCATTTTCTTTGCTTCATAATGAGACTTAAAAAGCTTTACCAGTACTTCCATCCTCTGTTAAGACAGTTTTCCACTAGGTGAATTTATTCGCGCGAATCGAAAGCGCCGTTCATTCGCATGCACATTCATATTTCTATCGGAGTTTTCACTTTAAATAGCAAAATTGGTAGTTCGAACTGTTTCTACTTTTTGCGAAGCGACAAATGTGCGCAAACAATCAGAGCTCAGGAACCAAACCGGCGCCTTCGATACGCGCGAATAAATTCGCCTAGTGGAAAATCGGCTTTAGGCTTTGACCACACACTATCACATTTTATGTGACAAATTTGTGTGGTGTACCCATATATGGGCATAACACATATATTTTTCACATAAAATTTGATAGTGTAGACAGAGCTTAAGTGTTGAGATGGATGAATGAAAACATTTTGTACAAACTGTATGGCTTTGCACTTTCTAGCGCCAGGCCTTCTTTTTGAGAAGACTCTGGTCACATTACTTATATTCTTTGGCAAGGCGCTTAAAATGGACACATAAGATGTGAACACATTTTTAAGAAATTGGTAATGCGGAGTTTCCATGTTAAGCCTTCTTTTATTAATCACAAAAACAAAAAAAAATTAAAAATGTCTTTTAGTTTCAAAGCAGAAAGATGTTCCTATCTGAAACACTAAAATCCATGGGCAATCTCTGAAACAAGTTAAAGTTTCCAAATATCTGGGAAGATGGATTAACAACAGATGGGAGATGTGATAGAGAAATTTTAGAGAATAGCACTGGCAAAAGAGTCCGTCCTCCAAAATGAGCAGTCTCAAAGTCCTAGATTGCTATTTAATGCAAATTCTCAAATATGGTTGCAAGAGCAGATCAATCTCAAAGGCAATGGAAGACCGATTGCAAGCAACCGAAATGTGGTTTCTTTGACGGATTGTTAAGAATCCCATGGACAAGTCACACCAAAATTAAATTTTTACACACTGCAGGCAGCCAACAGGTGCTTAAGAAGATTAAGGAACTACAACTCGACAACTCATACACTGTATGAGGAAGGGAAGTTGGAAGGTTTATTTCTCATGTGGAAGATTGATGAAAGGAGAGAAAAAGGGCGCCAGATAGCAACTTTTCTTCAAGGAATTGCTGCCTGGACGCGTGTCAATAACCTCAATCTTCTGAGAATGGCAAAGTAAATGAAAGATTGGCATTCTAAAGTCACCAACATCACTTGATACGGAACACAGAGAGAGTATTCTATGATCACATAAAAAGTTTTGTTTTTTTATTTTTAAAAAACCTGATGAATTATTATAAAATATTATACCAAAGCAACTATATACCTGCTGCTGGATGTAAAGAAGAAATATAGGGCATTTGAAGAAACTTAATTATAAATAAATTTCAAAAATCTTAGTTTTCTTCAACTGAAAGACTGAAAACAAAATACCTTCTTATTACTCTATTTCTAAAATGGTAACAAATTATTACTATGATTTCGCCAAAGCTTTATCCAAAACAAATTCTGATTCAGGATTTCCTACATCTTGTTCGAGTACAAATATAATTTCTTGTTTGTTATTGGCAGGTTGATGAGGTTGGTTTGTGTACACAGCTTCCTGTGCAAAGCCTCGATCCAAACCGTGTTGGGCGTGGATGTTTTGAGATTGATTGGAACCAGTCAAGTTCTCAAATTGACTATGCTGAGCCTGTATGTTTATAGTTTGATTATTATTACCTATGAATGACTGATGTCCAGTCTGCTGTTCTTGGTAAAGGTGGTCAGTCTCCATGGTTTCAACCTCCTGGACCTGACCAATTAACTGTGGATGTCCTTCAATGTGTGCTTGGTTTAAAAGATGCACTGTTTCTGATTGGCCAAAGTTATTAGACTGTTCAACTGATTGCACATGACTTAATAATTGATTTTGGTTAGCATTTGGTGTACCTGTGTAAATACATGTACTGTTGGGCTGTTGTTGTTCGACGAAAGTATGCCCCTGAGTTTTATCCTGAAATACCTGTCTATCTTTTGCTTGTAAAACAGCTGCCTGGTCATTTTGAATGATAAAAGTTTGTGTTGGTTCTGTAAACACCATAGTGTTTTTCGATTCTATGCTTTGCATACTGACTAACAGTTCACCAGTGTTCATGCTTTGCACTGGTCCTGTGGAAGCTGTGGTCACATGTACGCTTGACTCAACATTTTTATCTGCAAGTAACACCTGAACGCTTTTTTCCGTTTCCGTCTGGGCAATGCTTCCCCCGTGTTTCAACTCAATTATCTGATTTGTCATACCCTGGAGGGGGCTAGTCATCAAGACAGCAGCATCACTCCCAACAGCCCCTTTCTGTGTAACTTCCGCAACTTGTTCTATTTCAACAATCCCATCAGCAAGAGCTTGGAAACTTTTCGCAACTTCAAAGAGCTCCCTCTTTGTTTGTTCATCTCTACTTGAGGTATCTTTGGTTTCTTCCAAAGTGATGATTACTTTTCCCATGCTCGTGTTGGATTCGACAAAATCATGAGCTTCCACAATGCCCTTCAACGCATACATCTTGTTGATGATGGGTGACAATGCGACAGAACTACCAGGAGTAAAGTGAGGTAATATATTCTGCTTGAACTCCTTTATCAGTTCAACTTTGTACTGCAAGATAAAATATAATATATTCTAACAATTTATATCATCATTTAAAATGGTATAAAGTTTTATACTCATCAAATGATTTGCTTGTGTCTTGAGCAAGCTTTACAAGTAGTGCCAGGGGAATGTGAAGCAGGATGTAAGGTGTTAGACTTCTAATCGTGAGTTCAAGACCAACACTTGTCGCATTGCTTGTGTCCTCTTCCTACACACAAGCATAAATGGGTACCCGGTAGAATGTTATGGCATTGAATATATGGGTTGTGCGTGTAAAGTGCCCCAGGGAGCAGGGACAGTTGCACAAAATGTGCTGTTTTACCAATTCAGTATCCAGTGACCAGGGAAATAATGATGCCACTGCCTTGTATATTTATAAGATTGTGAAAGTCTCCATATAGATTCAGGTTCTAAAAAAAAAAAAAGGTCTCTCTATGCAGTGACCCAGGAGTATCAGTAAGTTGGTAGCTACTAGGTGAATGTTTAGTGTAATTATTCTGTTATTAATGTTTACACATTCCGTACAATATAAATTTCAAATATTATTGTTATTAAAACCATCAGCAAATATGGTTAAGTAGTCTCTATGAGAATTGTTTAATTTCATTATCGTATTGTTGTTTAATATCATGCTAAATAATTAAAATAGAATATATTTTATGGTTTCTACATGGAAACAACACTTAGGTTAATAAAACCAAATAAACAACATAAGCCATTTTGATTTATGTCACACCAAAACATACATTCAACATTAAGTATAATCACTACTTGATTAAAAAGTAATCAATGAAAAAATTCTGACAAATGGAAGATTTGAACCTAGACTCTTTCTGTTGAAGGCTGGAACTAAGCTAGTGTCTCGCATACCGAGTAAAAACTTACACTATCAGGCATATTATGCATAGATGCCCCCTTGATGCTCACTCGTTTCTTCAGAATGGCCGGTAATATGTCACCACTTATCTCACTACCACTCAACAGTCCGTAAATGATCCATAGCCCGTCAGTTGCTATAACTTTAACATTACCCGCACAATGGATACCACCAACACAGTCCAAGATGATTTTTACTCCTTGATCTGTGGTCAGAAAAAAAAAGTTATAAATTTATCCATTTTAACAGAGTTTATTTCAAGGAACAAGAAAGCAAAGGCCTCTATGACGTTTTTATGAATGAAAGATGAGGATGATAAATGGTGAAAGTAATGCAGATGATAATGCAACAGAAATGGTCATCCAAGCATAATGACATTTGAATCAGTCACTGTCTTATACACTTTTTATTATTTATTAAATTTTTTTTTTGGGGTGGGGGTCAGGGGGTTATTTTGTATTATATAAGTTATTAGCTTTCAGTTAAAATTAGGACAAGAAAACATTTAACTACGATAAAGTATTATTCCTTCATAATTATGCATTCTAATGAATTTATTTATAGAAAATGTTTTAGTCAAAAATTTAAAGATACATAAAAAAAAATACAAAAGTATAATACATAATCCAAGTATGGAAATGCACACCATCAAGTTGGGATTCAATAATTCGACACATCATCATCATTTCTGGAGTATGTATTACTGTATACTTTCTTATTTTTCATTTTTTTCCCATTTCATTTCTTTAGGCACGAGCGCCAAGGATATGCCAATAAGTGAACTTAATCACTGTCCTACGTGGCATATCCATTTAATAACAGGGGACATAATGGACCAGTACACCGGGGTAACCCCCCCACTCTTCTCGAAGGATGTACTGGGTTCTTTAAAGTGGACACGAGCTAAATGTGTACACTGGACCTACGGTTTAAAGTCCCTATCCGAGAAGACTAGTTCCACCACCAAAACCATTGGCAAGTGAGCTGTTCGAACCAGCGCCGATATTAGAGCTGAAGGTTATGGTGCCCCTGACTTAACCACTCGGCCAATCAACTCTTATCTGAGATTAATCAGTGGAGCTATCAGTTTATAAAAAAAATACTGTGCATATAGACGATCCACACGAAAATATACAACATAATATCACTTTCAATGTATTGTTTAGGATAACTTACAAAACACATAACCACAATGAATTCAATTACCTTCGGTAAATTGTAGCACTTCTTGTGCAAAATCCTGTTCTTTATAATTGAACCCGGCCACAGCACCAATGCTTTTACACAGTTCCACCTTACTCCATGATCCTGCCGTGACAATAGCCCGACCACCGGCCAAGTTGACCAGCTGAATGGCAGCAGTCCCAACACCACTTGCCCCTGCATGTATCAGCACATCATCTCCTTTCTTTATGTTGCCTAGAAAAACAAATATTTATTGCTGATGATTAATGTATTATTATAGAATTCATTGCCATTACTATTATAAACATTATGAATGCAGAAAAGGCTGCCCTCTGAAAGTGAATATAGCACCACTAGCAGCTCTCTAGATCGATACGTACACCTTATAATTGACATTATTATTATCACCATTATTATTATCGCCATGAATAATGTGCAACCCCTCTAACTCAAGACCACTTTTAAGACAAAGATAAACCTCTAATTGGAGACTAAATACAGAGACCATCGTATATTTTTAGGTTTCGAATTAACATTGATTATTACTGTATACTAACCAGATGGAGAAGAAAGCATGAAGAATGCTAATACAGCTAAGTAAAAACATATGAAGTAAAGTAAGATAAAAATTACTATTACCAATTCCATACAGAAGATGATAAGCCATAAGCCACACCTCTGGTATAGCTGCTGCTGCAGAGAAAGACATGAAATCAGGAACCAGCATCAAGTGGTCCTCTAAGGCATTCACATACTCAGCATTCCCACCACTGGACAGAAGACACATCACACGATCACCTGACACAAATCAACAAAATCATTATTTAAAGCTATTAATCTAAAATAAATTTCAATATACTGTAAATGATTTAGCAACAAGTTTGTGTATTTAAAGAGATTTACAAAGCGCACATATTCAAATTCAATCAAACATAACATGCAACGAATGACACTCGCACAAGATGAATTTATATTTTACGGCATAATTAGAGATAATTATGAAACTAACGATATTTAAACAATCTACGATTATTACCATTTGTAAATAATGGAAACCTCTAATTGGAGACTAAATACAGAGACCATCGTATATTTTTAGGTTTCGAATTAACATTGATTATTACTGTATACTAACCAGATGGAGAAGAAAGCATGAAGAATGCTAATACAGCTAAGTAAAAACATATGAAGTAAAGTAAGATAAAAATTACTATTACCAATTCCATACAGAAGATGATAAGCCATGAGCCACACCTCTGGTATAGCTGCTGCTGCAGAGAAAGACATGAAATCAGGAACCAGCATCAAGTGGTCCTCTAAGGCATTCACATACTCAGCATTCCCACCACTGGACAGAAGACACATCACACGATCACCTGACACAAATCAACAAAATCATTATTTAATCTAAAATAAATTTCAATATACTGTAAATGATTTAGCAACAAGTTTGTGTATTTAAAGAGATTTATAAAGCACACATATTCAAATTCAATCAAACATAACATGCAACGAATGACACTCGCACAAGATGAATTTATATTTTACGGCCTAATTAGAGATAATTATGAAACTAACGATATTTAATCAATCTACAATTATTACCATTTGTAAATAATGTGGAAGGTTAATGAATTTGACTATTTTTAGTGCCATCATTTTCAAGTTTATATCTTCCTGGGTATGCCACTTGTGCAATTACATAACACAAGATATGCATTAACACTTTGGCTGCCAGCGACGAGTATACTCGCCCACAGGGTGTTGCTGAGGGCACCAGGGATGAGTATACTCGTCTAAATCAGGAAAACATTCTAGCGTTTATAACTTCCTTTACTCGCCCCTAATATTTTCCCGCCAATTTATTAGACACATCATTTTGATGATACATGACTACAGTCGACCTTCCCATTTACGTACACCTTGGGCTGAAAGCAGATCGTAATTGACAAAATTTGTAAATGAGAAGTTTGTAAGAATAGCGCCGTCAAGTTTAAAAACGCCAAGTTGTAGCCTATCCTGTATGTTTAAGATTCTAGGCCTGCCTATCAACATCTAGGCTTCATTTTGCATTTAGTGTTCAATAAACATTTATAGAAATCGATCAAGAATCAATTAAATGTTATTACAAGACAAAATAATATTAAACATCCATTCATATAGGCTAAGGAAATAGTTCCATGGATAGACCGACCTAATCTTCCATGTCACTACCTGTAGACTGACTGTGTACAACATACAGTGGTGGTTTAGCTGGACCTAGCAGCAGCTCTCTGCTAACTTTAGCTAGGCCTCTCTCCGTAATTTGTAGAAAATTAGTAAACAAACATTGATATAAATTTGTATTAAAAGCACTGGGCTGCTTATTTATTTAATTTAATCATAAAGGTTCGATGTTACTATACATTTACACTGACTAGCTGATTCGATTTACAGGTGATAACCAGAAGACAGTTTAGGATAGGCCCTGCAGGGTAGGCTGCCCAACCTTGCCCTTTGCCTAGACAAGGTAGGGCTAGCAGCATGCACTGCATGCCTGAATTTTGGCTAGTTTTGATTATTTTACATCATGCAAATTGGTCTTACTTTTATGAGCCTAAAGTATAACTAGTATAATGCATTTTTTAATGACCTTTGATAAAAATAGCAAAAATTATATGAATAAATCTAGCAATGACGTCATCGCCCGAACGTTCGAAAAAAAGGTTTGTAAATGGGAAGGACGACTGTAGATAAAATTTCGAAAAATTATGTTTGTACATGTAAACTTTTTTTGGCACACGGCAATTAACCTCAAAAACGTTATGGCAGTCAACGTGTTAACATTCCAAGTTTGTGTGTGAATGCTACTTTATGTTATCGCTTACCTTTCTTCCAGGTAGACTGAAGGACGTCGCCAACTTTCTCTATTGTACCTGCTGCTTCTGTTCCCAGCATGTTGGACACACCACATTTCAAAGGCCAAGCCTCGTATCTCTACACATAAAAACAAATATGGTAAATTTACAAAAGTTAATTGTAGTATACAACAAAAGCAAGAACAACAACAAAATATTATATAAACACCAAAACACAACACAGCAACAAAAACAACAAAACATCAGCAACAAAACATCAGCAACAAAACAGACAAAAACATCAACATTACGATTCAAGCATGGAATTTAATACATTCTAACTTAAAATACTTTTTTATATTTATATTGAGTTTCTGTATTTTATTGTTCTTTAGGGATATAAATCTGCAGCTTTCTTTCACATTCAACTACAAGTAAACTTGCTAATTTCATTATGGGGAACTGGGTGATACTCTATCAGCTAGGTCCTGGCACACACCTGCGGCCATGGTCGCTGGCTAACATGATTCCAGGGATATCCCAATGCGATGAGGCATACGCAACTAATTACTCCTCAGATTAAAATGAAAGGCAACTACTAAATACCATCTACATAAAAAAGTGATAGCTAAGTACCATTCCGTTACAAGATTTTGGGTTGAATCCATGCGAACGTGCGAAGATTCATCTCAATAGCTAAAAACCACCGCCCATCTACTTTTACCTGCATTATTTTTAGCTTAATGTATTTGCAAGAAAAGTCTCTTGAGTCTTTCCCACACAGCTGCTAAGCTTCTAGAATCAAGTGCGGTTTTCATGGCGTACGTATGTACACTTAATACGGATCAACTTTTTAACACCACGCATAATTTACCTTACTTATATCCTGTCTGCTAACAGATGTTGCGGCTACTTTTATCAGCACCTCGTTTCTCTTAGGCTCTGGCCTAGAAACCCGGTTAACGCTAACCTTTAACCTGTGCTGTGGTAGGTCACTCGGCTTTTCCAATACTGCTGCTCTCATTCTGACGCCCTTCTGTAAAGGTAGAGAGCACAGTAAACATGAATCATTGATTGTAGCTATATATATATAATATTCTTCCTTGAAAATTAGTTTTCCATTCTTAGCTGTAGTGTAAAACTATACGATAATAAAATACTTAAAATAATGGTATTAATATGAATAACTACCATCATATGAGGGTGTGTTCCATTAAAGCGAAATACACAGCAGAGACTTGAGACTCCGACCCCAAGATCAGAAAACCAAACCGTTCCCACTGTACCAAATGCTTCTATTTTTCATCTAAGGTCATTAATGTTATTAAAGTGTAGCGCAAAGAGGCATTTTATTGAAAATATGTGCTACAGTGCCCAATTATTATTATTATTATTATTGATCATAGGAAAATTATAAATATATAGTCTGTAAGATCAGGAAAACTCCTCAAACATTATTATTATTATTTATTATTATTATTATTATTATTATTATTATTATTATATTATTTCAAATTGCTAAGTTAAAATATTCAAATAAGTTTTCAATTCCATTGGGCCACAGGCAATTTATTTGAAAGCAAAATACATGGCTATTTATTTATTGAAAACTGTTAAAACAATAATGTAAAAAATATTACATAAAAAATGGTACTTCTTAGCAATATTGCTTCTTTAGCAACAATAAATGTGTTATATTCTTTAAATCCAACCCTCCTCTTTTATAAGTTAAAAACTTATGTATTCTTTAAGACCTTTCTACAGAAAATTCCAATTTTCACACAAGTGTAGCCTACAAACTATTCTTGTGTTACATAACTTATATGAAGGCTGTATAGAACTTGGGTACCCCTTCCATGCACCGACCTTGAAGCCCTGGCCAACTGGGATTGGTGCATCTCAAATTGAGTTGCACTCAAATCCAATTGGCCTTGGCCTAAAAAACTTGAAATTTGAGAGCTCTGTCAACTATATTTTTTCTGGTCATTGAAATACATATCAGGAATTATGTTCACTCCATAGGGATTTAACTAGTCTAGCGTGGAAATTCAACACAGGCCAACAAATTAACCGTCAATGAGATCCATTAAGTACCCGGTACGTATTTATACTCACGGTGAAGGATGACAATGCAGATAAAGTGCAATGACCCTAAAATATAAACGTTTTGATCAGCCTTAAGACTTCAAACTCACGATTGTATAGATAGGAAGCCTTTAAACCTGACAGTTAAGCAGCTGGGTTTATTCAATTCCCCAGGAAAATCTAGCTCATCAGTACTCATCATAATGCTCTATATCCATGTTAAAGGTAAAATACTACTGTAGCCTAATATATTTTGCAGTTATCAATATTGTTATTCTTTTTAACAACATGCATGCTTTTCCCTTTACAGTACATACTGTAGCTCATCACGCCAACAAGTTGTCTATGTGCTTCATATTATTAACATGGTCACTGGATCAAACATCTATGGTAAATATTTATTATAGTACTGTAATTAAAATTTAATGTTGAAACAAAAAAAAAATTCCAAACTCAAACTTAGATTCAGAAGTACAGTACCAGGATGGTACAGTTATCTGGTGAGGGATAGTTCTCAACCAAGGAGGTTATGTATTCACTTCTGTCTGACAGACAATTCCATTATTTTCTTGAGGGTATGCTGCAGTTTCGCCAATCATACATGGCCTGCTTATTGTTGATATTCAGGCACAGGACGGGTATATACACTCTATATTGACTGACTGCTCTAGTTTAGTAAAGTTTTTGCAGTTAAATTCAACCTTTGTAAATTCCATCCCCTAAAATCTAGACCCAAAAATACCAGGATGATATCTGGCAGTGGATAGTTTTTACCAGTTACTGTGATTGTAAGTTATCTTAAACCTTTGTAAATCCCGGCCCCGAAAACCATGATCCGGAAATACTGGGTTTGTGTTTTGTGGCAGGGAGTTTTAAATTGCCATGAGGAATCTGCGATCCAGAAGGCGATATATAAATATGGTTTATTAATACTATTTGTAACATGCTTTAGGGTAACTGTACCAAAAACAGTATTTTCACTGACCTACCCTCTACTGGATGAAAATGGAATGACTTGAGGCTTTTAGGATAAATAGCTATAAAACATTTGAAAACCATTCCCCTGTAACTGAAATTAATGTAGTGATTAATGGATACATGGAAATAATTTGAATGTACAGTAATAAGAAAGTAGAAACTGAAAATGCAACAGTTGTGGAGAGACTCCGCTTTTCAGCCACTATTTGATGTCTTGACCTGATTTCTTGATCTTGTATGACCTACCTTGTGTGTCGGATGAAACTGGTGATCATCAGGAGATGGTAGACAGATATAGATGCGCCGCTGGAAGCTCACATTCACACCAGTCTTCATGTCATTGTGACACTTTCGAGATAGAACTCTTCTGTTGTATTTGGAATCATTTTTCACCTAAACAAAATTTTAAAATTATATTGTAATTTGTAAAAACAAAAAATGGCTTAAAAAACGTGCAAGTGATTGATGCAAGTTTGGACCCCCTCGTCAGGGAATTCCTGTTGCCATTCCTGGCCTGGTTCCTCTATTTGCAAATGGATCCATCAGGTTAGATACAATTTATTTATTCATACCTTATAATCAGGAAATTTGATGACCTCTCTAAGCCGTATCTGTGCTGGACAATCTCGTTTTTTTGTAAAAACAACATTCCTTCTTTTCTTTTTCATTCCTGGTTCCTAAAACGATATTTTAATTTGTCAATGCAATATGAACAGTACCCACTTAATAAATTCTAACATCTTCATACATTGATCGTTTTACTCAGAACACAAATAATTAGACAAATATCGTCTACTTTTCTGATAATAAACTCCAGGGGCTGTGGGCAACACTTGTGCTGTTATGGAACTCTGTTGCTGACGCAGACCCTGGGCCGTTTGTGCTAATAAATAATTAAAAATTAATTAATTGAAATTAAATTAATTAAAAAAAATAAAACATTAAGTAGGCCTACCTCCATCTTCTCTCTATACCGTCGTTTCTGTGCAATGCATTTGTCGGATCCATATTGACAACTCATTACCTTCTTGCTGACAATCATGAAGGGAATTCCATCAAAAGCAATTTCCATTCCATTGTGGTCCGAAGCTTGGCATTCCCAGGTGAGACGGTGCGGCTGTCTTTTGAAATCTAAAATTACAAAATTGCCTTAGGCTATGTTCACACACACGGCGTAAGGCTGGCTTAAGCCTGGCGTAGCGTACGCCTTTGTGTGTGAACTAGTCAGTGGCGTTGTTAAAGCCACTCACTACGCCACGTCCTTGGCGTTATTAACGCTACCTGCAGACCCCAGATTAGCTAACGCCACTGAGCTAACGCCAGTGAGGCTTGAATGATTTGAACTCATTTCAAGAGATTGACCAATCACGATTACAATATATTAGCTACTTTGGTCTCTTTTCTGTGCTCTCTATAAATGAAATGGAAAAGGGGTTCCTTTTCTATTGCATTTTACTTAGTTATAATGTATATGATTTATTGATTTTGTTTTGTAAGATATTTTAACCATTTAGACTGTCTATTAAAACATGCAACATCAACAATGCTAGCTGAAAAATCAAAAGTAAAGTTGTTCATTTAAAATACAATAATCATATAAGTTCAATTCGAACAATTCACAGATTTAAAAGTTTTCATGATGCACTGTTAATTTTACTACTGTTAACACGTACCGTACATTATTTAAAACTGAAAACTATTCCACTCCACATAGGCCTATATTACTGCTAGTTTAACAAACGCCGTTTGTGTGAACACTTTGGAATTTTAATCCGTGGACTAGCTTACGCCTGGCGTAAGCCACGCCAGTCTTACGCCGTGTGTGTGAACACAGCCTTAGCAAGTGTTATTTGCCTCTTGTATCCTTGAAAAAAGAAGCTTTTGGTAGGTTCTAATTAAATCATTATAAAGTAAAGTATCATTCAATTTGTTGATATAAAATACTTCATAAATCTAATGAAATTGAATTCAGTTGAATTCAATTCAATTCATTTAACATTAGTTCATTACATAATAAACTTTATTCAATCAATCAATTTTCTTCTTAATTATATTTTTTACAATTTTCATGAATTTATTAAAAAGGCATCAAGCAAGCTTTTAGTTTTGATGCCTTACAAAAATAACAATAACTACATAACAATAATAAGTACATTATAAAAATAAAAGCTAATAAACCTATTTGGCAATTCTCTCACGATAAAATAACTGGGCAAGAAGCAGACAGAAGATAAATTTCTGTTGGTGTGATACGTCTTTTACAAAAGAGCGAATGAGTACTGTAAAACATCAAAATAGTTACAAAAATCAAGATCAATAATATCAATCAGTATCAACAATTTCAACCAACCAATCACAAAAGCACTGATTAACAGGTTCATTGTTATCACATTACTAACATTACTATTACTGTATTATTAACATTCTCTTCTCTTTCACACATTAGTTAAGCACTTTCTTTGAGATGATTTTTAATTGTGTAAGGAGCTACAGTAGGCCTATACAAGTCTATTTCCATTATTATATTAAAAATCAAGAAGCTGCATGTACAGTATACCTAAAGCTTAACATATACCCCCTACTACCAGACTAACTAGGACTGTTTGTGATCTTGTCTGAGATCCACTTTTCCAGAGACACAAGATTGCCAGAAAGTATGATTTCTATGGCATGCCATGGAGGCCTTCAATTTGGAAGCGCTAGCCTAGCTAGGCCTAACTGGTCTGCCTAGCTCTACATTGTTTGGCGATTTCGTCGCCGATAGTCTTGTCCTGGTTTACTCTATGATTTAAGATTTAAAAATACTCTAAATTATTTCACACTAGGCCTATCTCTGTAATAAAAACAATATTAAACACAAACACTAAGTTAATTAGTTAAATGCTAGCATGATGTAAATTTCGAAAGGATCCTGCCTACGAACTATAGATAGCAAACGAACGACGGTCTGTCTCTCCATCATACAACCCGCCGCCAACACAACAACAACGTATTGAATCGCAGCCTACCAGTTTCTCCGAAATCCTTATGCACTTTAGTAATGACATATTTTGACGACGTTACTTCGGAGAAGTACTCTATGACTTTTCTGCAATCCTTAACGTTGTTTACATAGCCATAGTTGTCCGAAAAAGCTCCAACAAACAAGCTCGTCCAGCAAGGTTTATCATTATCACGAGTAATTTTAGCATCTGATTTTAGGATTGGATCCATCTTGGAGACAAAGTTGCCACACGTATACGAATTGTTCAGCCCATTTTATTTATTCGACCAGTGCACATTTACATAGGTACAATATAAAGTATTTTGGTCAGGGGCAGCTAAAGCAAAGTTTTACTATAACTCATTGAATCACCTTCCCTCTTTATAAATACTAAAATAAAAACAAAAAATAAAACACTAAGATACAATATAGAATATAAATAGGCAACCTTAATTCTGTAACAACTCCTTGTGTTTACGTTTCCGTTTTTTCTATTACCAATTTAAATTATTAATACATCCATACGTGACTTATTTGTTTATTTTATTTTATTTTTTAATTTTTTTGTTAAATTTATTTTCTGCGTGGAATGAGAACAACTTGATGACCTGGAATTGTTATTTATTCACAACATCTCTCTTCAGATAACATATGGTGGCCAAAGGCCAAATTGCATTTTACTTTAAACTAAACACGTTGATACAAAATATTTGGTAATTAATTGTAAAGAGGATTAAAATATTTTAAAACAGTTAAAATATATTAACAGCAGAGAAATGCAAAAATTGAAAAATCGAAAAAACAATACAAATTTACAATAACAACCAATAAAAAAACAACCAATATATATATCCTGTCTCTTATACACATCTAGATGTGTATAAGAGACAGTATATATATATAATGATTTGACAATTGACATGATATGGCATTTGAATAGGCCTACAGAATAATTTTAAATATCAACTTGAATACGTTACATGAAGAACTAAAATTCATACAGTACACGGTAGCCTATTATAGGCCGCCTACAGTATTAAAGGCCTGTTTATATACTTGCGACGTTAACGGTAACAATAAAAAGCTAAAAGCAATTTTTTAATATAGAAAATGATAGGAATAAAGCGAAGTTTTTATTATAGGACGATTCTATAACGATTTTATCGTGCACACAATAAAAAATAATTTCACAAATCAATTCAAATGACGTCATAATCATTGAAAGACGATAAAATCGTGGTTGTAACAATTTTATCGTTTTCCCATGAGTATATCATTGTAATTTACTTTGTGAAATTATTTTGTTATCGTATACACGATAAGTTGTTATCGAATCGTCCTAGTGTAAACTATTTCTTTTATTTTCTATATGAAAAATTGTTTTTTATCGTTATTTTATCGTTGCAATTATAAACAGGCCTTAAGAGGACACATTCGGGACCAAAAATAGTCCCCCTTACTGAGAGGGCTACCTTAGGACACTAACTGCAAAAAATAAAGTTGTCCCTTTAATAAGGGTTTTGACACGAGTCATTCAATATCAGAAGAATGACGTGGGTTTTTCATAATTAGTTATGAATAAAAACAGGGGTGTTTTTTTCATATAATTAAATTAAATTAATTGTAACAATAATTTTCAGTACAAATCAAATAGGCCTACACGTGCCATTTTTCGAATTTCACTAGACCTACTGGTGGGGTTTTTCAGACATTAAAAAACATAATAGTACATACATTTGTATTATTTCTGCATTTCACAAAAAAAATAAAACACAAAATTCCCTGATGATTACTAAAAGTAAAGACACAGTGGCAATACAGACATATTATTAATAGAACTAAAAAATAATCCTCACACCAGATACCGTACCGGGTATGTACTAATCTTTAAAATACTACACTAAATTTAATGGAACAAAATGGGAAGTAGAATAATTACATGAAAAATTATTGACCTCTAAATATGTAGTCCATAAATAAACGACTTGCATTACACAGCGTATTGAACTTGAAATACTCAGGCTCAACTTGAAATGAAAAATTCATTTATAGTTTTATTCCGAACACTTTTTGGGCCGTAAAAGGCCACTGTATTAAATATAGCCTAGTTCAAAGCAGTAAAAATAATATAAATTGAAACTTGATAAACATCAAAGCTACCTGAAATTGTAGAGAAATAATGAATGGTTTGAAATCATATAAGCTTTAAAGAAAATGATTAAGATAAAAGTATACAAATACATCGTCAATCTAACACTAGCAGGAGAAGTAATACGTTCGGAACATTAAAGGGAACGGTACTGTCGATTAAAAGAGAACTAACAAAATGATTTTTTGTTCTAGAGTTGATTTTTGATATGCCATTAATAATAGAATCAAAATAAAATCGTTTTTTGTCTGTTTTTTATGAAGTTATAGGCGATTATATACGATTTTACCATGACGTCACTGGCCCTCTAGGCCCTCTTTAGGCTAGACGCGCCTAGACGGTTGGAAGCGACGATCGAAGAAAAACGATTAAGCAAGCCAAGGACTTCGCTAACTTCCATTCCTCAGTATTAAAATCCTTCCATTGATGGGCACTGCCTAAAACTTTCTTCCAGCTTATCTCTAAAAAATTGTAACCTTTTCGTCTGCAATTGGCTCAACATGAATTACACAGGAGCCAGTGAGCTTCCATGACGACCTAGGCTCGGACATGACACGTTGTTGTTTTTTGTTATTTCGCGACGTCATCAACGAGTACAATACATTCATTACCCACCATCAAATAAACTGCCTTAAAGAAAACAAAATTGGTTCGTGTAGGAATCGAACACACAACCTCCATGTTTGCTATTCATTATCCACCATCAACTAAACTGCCTTAAAAAAATGGTTCGTGTGGGAATTGAACACACAACCACCGGTTTCCCGTAACATGATTAGTCTATTCTTTTTCTAATTTAAAAAAAAAAAAAAAAAAAAAAAAAAAAAAAACTGGCTCGTGTGGAAAAAAAAAAAATAAAAATAAATAAAAAAAAAAAAAAAAAAAAATAAAAAAAAAAAAAAAAAGCCGAGTTTACTACCCCTGATCCAGCATGACTAAACGGAGGGAGGTAAACCGCGGCCCCTAAGCCATAAATGCGATAAACCTAGTACCACACCAAGTACCAGTTAGTCAACTCTGATCCTACTAGAAAAAATCCTTCGTATATATACACTACAGGTTAATATTACGCATGGTCATGGTGTCAAAAATGGGCCGTGGGCCAAGAGGGTTTATTTTTCTGTCTAAAAATGTAGAATTAAATTTATAATCGATTTTTGATTGTTACCATCTCCATAACTTACGCACCTTTTTTTAAATAGACAAAAATGTTTGAAAAATTCATTATGCAAATTAGAAAAAAATAGACTAATCATGTTACGGGAAACCTGGTGGTTGTGTGTTCAATTCCCATACGAACCATTTTTTTTTTTTTTTTTTTTTTGCAGTTTAGTTGATGGTGGATAATGAATAGCAAACCTGGAGGTTGTGTTTTTTTTTTTTTTGCTTCCAGATCTCTGACAATGGCGGAAGCCTATACCAAAGCTTCGCATTTTTGCGTTTATAATGCCTAGACAGGATTGTTCATTCATATTGAAATTAGTGTTTTGATGGTGATTTTTTTTTTATCCAATGCGAATTCTTATTCTGGTTTAATTTAATTAATTTGTTTATGTTAAAAGATCTAGTTTAATTTTTATACTTATGTTCTAATTGTATGTACTGAGGGTACCAATTGATCAGCTCAGGCTGGATGGACCACCCTCACAAAATATTGATTAAATAAATAAATATATTTTATATAAGAAGAATCTATGAATATTCAACTATTTGATTGGTGAACAGCCGAAATGGCAATTTAAAGCCAACGAATTCGCTAAAGGTAATTTTTTTTTTCTTTTTTTTAAACCAGGGCCTTCAGACCTCTGACAATAATGGTGGAAGCCTTTACCAAAGCCTCGCATTTTTGCGGGCATAATGCCTAGACAGGATTGTTCATTCATATTGAAATTAGTGTTTTGATGGTGATTTTTTCATCCAATTGCAATTTATATATTTTATATGAGAAGAATCTATGAATATTCAGCTTTCCGTTTACTGGGGGGAATGAACAACAAGATATTTTATTGGTGAACAGCCGAAATGGCAATTTAAACGAAGTCACTAAAAAGAGGTCAAAATGCAGCCTCTACGTGCGGTGGGCAGTAAGCATAGCACCAATAGAAAAGTGAAAAATGACGGTGACCTTTTTCAAGCAATACAATTGAAACAAATACTAAAGCAATCAGAAAAGAATTGTCTTCCAAATGCAGAAGGGAATACAAAAATCCGACAAGTATTTGCCAGATACGACTGTGGAAAGACAAAAAATGACCTAAAAACAGCTAATGTCAGCTTGAAACAATTTTGCTAGGTTATTCTCGCTCTTCAACGATAATGTTGCAAGAAGAACCATTTCGTATTTTTTGGAGCTTTTTTGATTTGTCAATATATATGGCTGATAATTTTACGTTATTTTGTCAGGTCGAGGTGATTTCACTTTATTTGACAATAGACTGATATTATTTCCACTCACAATAGTGTAGTCGCAATATTACTAATACAATCAACCTTAAAATCGTTTTTTGGCTATTTTTTATGAAGTTATAGGCGATTAAATACTATTTTACCATGACGTCACTGGCAAAAAAGTAACAAAAGTTTGTGTAAATAGCGCAGCGTAGAGTATCCACCGTGTGGGAATCGAACACACAACCTCCATGTTTGCTATTCATTATCCACCATCAACTAAACTCAATTACAAACCTGTCACATTAATCATGAGCCTATAAATACACCACCGCTTCGAAATTCAAATCTGATATTAAATTGGATTTTGTTTTAATTTTTTTCAGAAAATCATGTACCCACAATGAAAAAAAATATAGGATGTACATCCGAACAACCGTCAATGTCAAAACCTTCATTCCCTCCCACGAGTTGCCAACTGCTTAGCCTCAATATCTCTTGATGATGCTAAGTCAGCAGGATAGTCCTTTGAGTTTATGAATTGTCACTGCTCTGGGAATGACTGTGTCATGCTTCCATATTTGTTGCACCCCATTCGCCGTAAATGTGGTGTATCCTTTTTTTATATAATAGGCCCTATTGTAGCACAGCAAAATTTGGTTCGCTCCAATCCAAAGTGCTCGTTCAAGTTGGAGTCAATCTCCTCCTGCAACACTTATGGAAACTAGCCCGGCTGCTATGGCTCCAACCTTAAAGTAGTTTAAAAATGAAGCTGTCATATAACAGTTGGGGTTAATACTTTTTTAACTATGGTAACCTGAATTTATACTTAGTCCGTATTGTTTTGTACTGTTTAAAGCACTGGTTCCCAACAATTGTGTTTCCCACACACCTCAGTGGTTCACAACGATTGAGCATTCCCAGACACCTCAGGACATGTTAAAAGTCTTCATAGACCCCCAAGTCTAGGTTACTTATTGTCGATATTCCACCAATAGGATAAGATTATAGATAGAAGATGATTCGTCAGAAAAGTACAAAATCACAGCTATTTCAATATTGAATGTATGGCTGAGCGCATCTCCTAGCCATTTAACATGGAGTAGAAACATGGACACTATTAACGCCAGTAAAGTTGAAAATTCATCTTTTGTAAGACAAGTAAGTTGGGAGAAGTTCATACTGGCTTCAGGACACATCATTGTACTATCCCTAGACTTCAAATGAGCGTATCACCTACTATGCTTTCTCTACAAGGTCGTTTTGATACTAAATTCATCAGATTAAGCCTCTTCAACCAAGAAATAATTATTATTGCTTTTAATCAGTTTCAAAATAATTAAACCTTGAATTCAGTTAATTCACATCAGAAATTTGCTCAACAACAACAACCAATAGTTTTGTTTTCATTTAATAACATATAAAGTCAATTTTGTTCTATTGCTTTCATTAGCAGTAGCACACATCCTTCAGTAAAACACTCTAGCGTATTTTCTACAGTATACAATATGCTCAAGAATGTTATACAGCAGTATGAAATAGACTTCATTCACCCTTGGACTATATTTATAGACCAGGATGTTGTTCATTATTAAAAATATAGCAAATAGCATTACAGTTTTTTTTCTCCAGTACTTGACAGTTTTCAGGGCCATTTTGACAATTGTTTTTGGAGGCACAGTTTTTCTATATTCATGTAATTAAACAAATTAAGGGGAAGGACAATGAGTCCCCCTCACTCAACCCACTCTATTTATTTTTTTATTTAGTGTAATTTTTATAGATTCATTGAACCCATTCAGTGTTAGGTTTTAGAATTTTAAATATTAAACCAAATAAATCATACAAAATCATAATTCATAGATAGGCCTATATAATTACAGGTATAACAAAATCAATGGACACGAGCGAAAGAGAGTGATGGTGCAAGTTGGGGTGGGGCAGGGGGTGAAGAATTTCATAGGGCCCTGTAGGGAGATTAACAATAATTGTTGTAGAGAAAACAAAATTCCTATTTAATTTCTATAGAATAGGAGACTGTAAAATTGGTTAAATATGCCTTTAAAATCCCTAAATTGTCAGAGCTTCTCAAGGGTTCTACAGTAGGTAGCCATTGGCTCACCCACATACATTTTCTCATCAGATACATTGCACCCCCCTCCACCAAGAACATTGTTCTCATTGGGAACATTGCCCCTGTCATGAAAATACTGGTACCACATATACTAGAATGAGAATGTATGCCCCCACACAGCAGGATAGGTTACCAAAGGGGGTTGCTGGAAAATAGGGTTCATCATAGCAACTTCCTGGTGTTCATCAGCTATCAACCATAGAATTAACAATGGTGGTAACATGATCTATATTTAGACACAAAAATTATCGTGTTGTATCACCAATTCATATATCGTAATTTTTGCGGGAATGCCAGTCCTTTTCCCACCTTGCACTTTTACACATAAATTTAAAAAATTAATTATCAAGATTTGCTTGAGAGTATGTGCAATGCCAGCTCCTCGTCTTCCGCCAGTGTCAGGCCTGTGTCAGTATCCCTACTTGATGGTACCAAGGTCTTCTTTGATTTTTTCCTCTTCTGCCCACTACAACAGGAGAATATTGAGTTGATAAGAATAAAATTAAATATGACAAATTTTCTATATGACAGTTGCATGCCACTCAGACACCTGTCAGTGTACGACGGTCAGTTTGCATAATTATCAATGACAAATAACAATGAAATATATTGCAGAGCAGGATATGTGAGTCTGTCAGCATTTAAATAATTAAATATATTTTTGAAGGATATATGATTGATGTACTATTACAGATTTGCGCAAAACAGTATTTAACCATAGTTATTGAGTAAGGAATAAATGAAATATACAAGGTAAATATAAAATTAAATTTTGCTTAGTTATAAATGTATTACACAATATTATGCTCGCCTCAAATCTATATGGGTTTGTATCATGAACAGAGGAAGGTAAGTTGCATTTGTAATAGACAGGTTCCATTTCTCAAAAATCGTACTCTATAACGAATCAAGGGGCAATTTTAGGTAGAAGCTTGGATCCACCAGATTTAGGGTATTTTGACCTTGCTGATTACGAATCTGGTGGATCCCAAGTGAAATTCTTTAATCTAACTTTTATGCAAAAGTAACCATTTTTTGGAAAAAAGACTAACACTCTGGGACGGCGCTAGGAATTCCCCAAAGAGGGGTCCAAGCTTCCCGACAAGGAGGTCCACACTCCCTCACCGGAGAAGCCTAGCAACACACCTCCCTCCCCCCACCCTTGGGGATAACTTGTGGGGGAAAATTTAATTTCTCGGGGAATATTTTTAAATTGAAAGATAATAATATTCTGTGTTAATTGTGGGATTCTTAAAAAAAAAGGATGTCAAAGGAGGGTACCATCCCCCTGTCGAGGAAGAGCTGACGCACCTCTGCAACCCATACGACCGCAATAGTATACAGCACCTCACACATGGTAGCACTGCTCGCACTAAATAGTTTTTAATCCCTACAATTTTGACAGCTTACTAAGACATGCTTGAATTGTACTTTCGGCGCTAAAGATTTGATTTTTCCCCTACAACCTTGCTGGAAATTCCCTGACAGGGGAGCAGGGGTGGCGCCAGGACCTGCCCGACGGAGGGGCTAAAAGCCCCGACGGGGGGGCTAGTGGAGCGAATCGAGTCTCACTTGGCTGGGGCCGGAGGCCGCCTAGGACCCCCGGTGGGGGTCCAGGGGGGGCAAATCCCCCTGGAAATATTTGATGAATTATGGCGAATTTTTATTACTTATTTGATAGGCATCGAGTTACTATATTTTCTCTATCCTATAAAATTACTTCATGTAGGCTATGCTTTCTAATGTTGACATCAGCTTCCAAAACCAAAACATTTTTTAATAAAGCAAGAAACAAAGAGTATGCAATGTAACCATCTAATTTATTTTCAAATCCTCATTCTTGAAGTGAAATTCTATATTTTGGAAATTTTGCATGAAATCTGTCAACCACGTAGTCATGGTCGAGGTTGCTTCACCTATCACGATGTATTCCAACCATCATGAGGCTATCTAAATGAGCATTTGTCATAACAGAACGCAAATTATTTTTAATTAATTAAAATTAATTTGAATTGATATTATTATTGTTATTATTATTATTATTATTATTATTATTATTATTGTGGTTGTTGTTGTGATGAAAAGTTAACACAAACGATATGGTGGCTAAACGAATATTACATGTAAATATTTTTTTTTATTTGTTTGTTTCCCCCTCTGGCGCCACCACTGCAGGGGAGTCCAAGTGGGTGGTCCATAGGTCCCCGACAGGAAAAGAGGAACAGACTACAAGAATTAAAATTATACACCATAAATGAAGGAAACTGAATGACTTACAATCAATGTGTATGATGGTGTAAGTGATAATAAGGCTGTTTATAAGAATATGGAAGCTGGTTACAATGTGTGTGACGCCGATGATGATGTCAACAACCGTACAGTAGTAACAGATGTAAAAGTTAGAAAGATAAATGATAAAATGTGTAAGCCAAAAACCAGAGATTTAGAATATATGAGTAACACCTGAAATTATTAATATGAAATTCTGCAGTTGATTTGTAACAAGCACAAATCAGCAAACAATATACAGTATTATATTCATCAATAAGAATGTGTAGGCACATCAACAATATTTGTAAATCTGTATCCTACCGAAACATTGGATCCATTCGCAAATTCTTAACCAACGTGGTTGGTTAAGTTTAGGCCTTCTTGTTCACTTGTTCATGCTGTTTATTCTCATCTCACCTAGCCTATTGTTTCTAATCATGCTTGCATGAAATTCTTACTTTATACTATCTGGCTTTCTCTACCCTCACTCACTCGCCACTGAGGAAGGACTAGTGTTGTCCGAAAGCT